TGCAGAGAAGGCAATGGCAAAGTGCTACTTACAAAGAAAATGTAGCCTGAAGTCCTTTCATATCTTACCTCCTTCTTCCTTGATTTCTTCACTAGGCTCTCCTGAAATAGTCTCCTTTGTGAAGGGATGATCTTCCCTTTCCTCTTTGGCAACTGACCCTGGCCTGAGTGCAATTTTCTTTCCTCTTCTTGAGGCAGTACCCTGGAATTTTCCTTTACTAATGTGTATATTATGTGGCTGGGAAGATTCCAAGGAAGGTAGGGTGATTTCCTGAGAGAAGGACTCTTCCACAACTTCTAGAATTGTTAGATTTGTGTCCTGGGTTGGCACCCTAGAGCTCAAAGATGGCTCCTCTACATCCAGCTGATTTCCTGCATCCTGCATAGATTGTACTTCAAGACCAGCTACTCCATCATGGCTTGGACACCAGGGCAGTGACACTGACCCCAAATCTTTAACCTGGTCAGATTCTGGTTTAACAGCAGACTCTAGGTCTAAGTCATCTTCCTCCTGGCTGCCCTTATGCTGCGGGGACTCTGTCACTGTAGTTTTTCTCTTCTTACAGGACAACATCTTGAAAGTCCTACTTTAGTTCCATCCTGAAAGGAAAAAAACAAGCTCTTACCACCTTCATATTAATTAATGACAATAACATTTCCTCAAATATCTTTTTATTCATGGCCAATCATGAACACAGTGCTTCATACCAAATGCACAATCTCCCTTTAGTTAAGAGATGAAGAAGCAGTGGGGTCAGAGTGCTCAAGTTCAAATCCCAACTCTACTATTGATTGGTTATGTTACCTTGACCAAGTGACTTAAACTTTCTATAAACTTCAGTTTCCTCAACTGTAAAAGATACTCATTGTAGAGGTATAGTAAGAACTAACTAGAAAATGCTTAACAAGTATTAGTTATTACCATTGGGAAGGTAGAATAACATGATGCTGACAGCATAGTGTACGGGTATGTTTCCCAAGCCAGCTTCCCTCCAGCTTTGTGACCTTTGCATAAGTTACTTATCCTGAATCTCAGTTTCTTCAGCTATAAAATGAAATAAAAATAGCACCCACATCATTATATAGTAAGTGATCAATATATTTTGCTATTGTCATTTTCATAAACAGGTTTTCCATTAATAGAAACAACCAAAAAGCAAAGTGTGATTGTTTAAAGGTTAAGCTATATTAAAAGAAAATTTGTGTTGAAAACAAGGGAGTAATGTAATTGCTGTCACTAAATTGTGTATCGTAAGAATCCTGAATAACCAAATGTGTTTTATATACACACACACGAGGGGAAAAAAAAGAAATCAGGCAGAGCAGATTGCCACTGTCCTCTGTACTACATATATTACTTCTGGACCCTTGACTTCAATTTTAGTTATCATATTTTAAGGGCGACATTGACCTAAACTGGAGGGTATCTTCCAGCATCTGTATGTAAACCTCTTGTACAGTACACCTCACTTTCGTAATTACCTATCTACTTGTCTGTCTCCTTTCTCCAAACCTATGAGCTTTTTTAAGGAAAAAGACTCTTTCAACTAGTATCCCTAATATCTACCAGTATCCGACCCATTGTTGATACTCAGTAAAGATTCCCTGAATGAATGCTTGAACTTCTTCCCTGCTCCAGAGCACAGCATTTTCACTAAATGGTTAAGCATTATATGAAAACTGACTTCATCTTTCTACCCAGAAAAACTTCACCCTCAGTAAAACAGATGCAAGAACAGAATTCACAGCCTTTTGAGTGCCCTTCACTGGCAACGTTAATGCAAAGTCTGAATGTCTCCCTATCAGGACACTAGATGAAAGCTTGTACTAAACAACAACAAAAGTTGCTGACAAGTTGATTCTGACTCATAGTGACCCTACAGGGCAGAGTAGACCTGCCCCACAGAGTTTCCAAGTCTGCAAATGTTTACAGAAGCTGACTGCCACATATTTCTCCTGAGGAGCAGCTGATGGGTTCGAACCACTAATCTGTTGGTTAGCAAGAATGCTTAATCACCGTGCCAGCAGGACTCCTTCAAGCTTAGACTAGAGGACTGAAAAAGTTCAGTTAGTTTTAGTAACTCCCTTATTCAGTTTTTCCAGGACACTGGGGAAAATAATCAATTGATGGCCTTCTCTTGGTAATTAGTGTTTAACAAATACGTGAAGATTCCATTGATCCCTGTGAGGGAGCGTGGTCAGAGGGTAAAGAACTGAGTGAAAGCAGTCAACATGAATCCTTTACTTCACAGACGAATTACGTGAGGTCGGGGGAGGGGGAGTTACTATTCAAAGTCAGCAACATATAGGGCTCGGCTCCAGGCCTCTCAAACACAACACAGCTCGAAAATGGTGCCTCCTTTGGGAACCAAAGTCTGACCAACTAGGTGGAAGAATCAATGTCTATCCGGAGACAGACCCGGCACCGCCCCCTCCCGGGAAAACATCACAGAAAGGGCTTCCAACTGCGCTTTCAACCTCGCGCCGAGCCCTGGCCCAAGTCTCCACTGCCAGCTAGACACCCTCACACTCCTATCTTCCAGCACACACCCCGCGCCCGCCCTCAGACGCGAACCCCTCATCCTGAACGTCCTTCGCCTCGCGTATGCCCCACTTCCACCTGTTTCTTCCCGCCCCACAGCACACAACACAGTACCCTCACCAGCCGGCCAGATCCCGCGGAAACTCCGCTTCAGCACCACCGGAAGTCGGTCAACGGCAGCGGCCGACGTGCGCGCCCCCGAGTCGAGGCGCGCGACTTCTCAGAGCATCAAGGAGCATGCGCCAATCGCTAGGCTCCATCCTATCTCAGGGCTAACTGAAGCCATATCAGTAGCGCGTCAGTTGGGGCAAAAAATTTTAAGAGGACTATTTCTCTCTCTGGGAGCTCTGGGAGCATAGTGGCTAAGACACTTGCCTGCTAACCAGACGGCTGGCGGTTCAAACCCACCAGCCACTCCTCGGAAGGAAGGTTGGGCAATCCTACTTCCGTAGTGATACTGCCTCGGAAACCCAAGGAGGGGTCTCTATGAAACGGGTTGGACTCGATGGCACATAACAACAACAACAATTTCTCTCTCTGCCCCTGGGGCTGTCCTACTCAAAGCAAATGTAAGGGTTGATATTCAGTGATTTAGTTTGACAATTAATCATTCTTTCTGCGAGACACCTGGAATACAGGGCCAAATAAATGAGAACGCATAAAAATTCAGGAAGAAAAACCCCTGAGTTACAAATAGTGCAGTTTTCTGAATAACGTTCAGAAGCCTTGGACTTAGTCCGTAATTATTCCTATCTGCCTTGAAAATCCTATGGGGCAGTTCTACTCTGTTCTATAAAGTCGCTATGAGTAGGAATCAACTGGATGGCAGGAGTTTGGTGGTTTGGTACAGTACTCTGCCTTTTACAAAACCCTTTCACTTACATTATCATAGGTGATTTGGTGTTCACAATAAACCCTGTGGAACAATGGACATTATTATATTGTCTTCCAGTTCATACAGGGTAAATTTCTGGCTCAGCTTTGCGAATGGTTTCACAAAGGTACACAGCTGTCCTGAGGAATCAGGAATCAAGTATTCTAACCCTAGCTCCTGATGCATTGATTCAATACACAGGAAGGTGCCCAGGACAAAGTCTATTTTCAATAACTAAATGTTTTTTTAATGAATGAATAACTCCTAGAACCATGGTCTCTATTTTACTAGAAGCACAGAATGTTAAAAGTGGAAAACTACATTCAATTCTCATTGTACAGGTGAATCACCAACTATTCAGACAACACATTTAAATGATCCGTTTAAAATGATTGTCTATAAACAGAATATGACAGGATGAAAGAATCCACGGCCAAAACGCAAGGTGGAATTGATATAATCATCGAAATAACCACCAGTAGTAGCCTGAATCTAACTTGAATCACATCTACTGTCCCAAAGGGTAAGAAAATCTCCAGGAGTTTCATTTGTGAACTGCTTTCTGTGTGTATGTGTCTGTGTGTCTCTGTCTCTTCTCTTTCTCAGCAGCCCTAAGCATTTGAGGCTCACGGGTAAGAAATACCCAACACTCTTCCTTCATCTTTTTCAAAAAACTAATTCAATTACCACAAAATCTCTCCATTTCAAGTGTACACTTAAATAACTTTTAGTAAATTATCAGAGTTGTAAAATCAAGAAAGGAGCTCTGATAGCATAGTGCCTAAGGCACTTGACTGCTAACGAAAAGGCTGGCGGTGCAAACCCACCTGCCACTCCTGGGAAGGAAGGTTGGGCAATCTACTTGCGTAGTGAAAAAGTCTTGGAAACCCAAAGAAGGGTCGCTGTGAGTCGGGTCCGACTTGATGGCAAATAACAACAACAACAGCAATCAACAATAGGTTTAGTCTTTAAATCAGAGCTTTGCCATTAGTGGCCTTAGAAATATATAACAATCATGGTAATTGATACTGAAATACAAGCATCATAGAATTTTGTTTTTCCAAAATCTTAGGCTTCCACTCACGCATAACATTCTGTTACTATATTAAGCCTAAGAAAACGGAATCACAAGATCTGTAGGACCTCATATGATAACCTAAATACGGTCTTTACTACAGCTTCTAGAATTCTGCCTTTTAGCTCCTTAGCCGGTCAATAGCCAAGACCTCCGTCTCTGGAAACCTCGGCGGTGGGAGGGGCGCCCTACCGGCTTTCTTCCGGAAAGGGGAGGGGCCAGCCTTCCGGAACTATTCGGATAGAGGTGGAGTCTTCTGCCGAGGGCTCTTCGGAAGAAGGCGGAGCCTACCTCGCATCAGGACCAGTCTGACTGCACCTGCATCCTTAGCTCAGAGCATCCCTGGAGCATCTTAAGAGACAACCGCAGCTGGCAACCAGGGCCTGGACAGTCGCAGGAGGAGTCCGCCAGATACCGTCCCCCTCCCCTGACCTAGCCCTCTACAGCGGCGGCCCCTGAACCGGCCGCGGATCGCAGAGCTGCCTGATTACTGCAAAAGCATTTATAGCAACAGCCTCTGATTACGACATGGCTGAGATCACCAATATAAGGCCTAGTTTTGGTAAGTAGACTCGGGCAAACTAATCTTGTAATGGTCAGAACCGTTGCAAAGCCAATGGGGCCCAGTGCCTGGGCAGGGAGTAAAGCCCAGACTAAGGCCTGCAAGTGCCAGCTTCGCTAGAATACGGCCTGTAGTGGTGGGTAGGGGACGTTGTACAGCCCCTAGGCTTGAGCTATGGGTTGCAGGAGCTGGCAAGGCCAGAGCCACACCAGAGGGTGGGGTAATCTAGGATTTTAAAACCTTCTTTAGTGCACTGTCAGCACTGCTGGAGGTGAGAAACAGCGAGCAGCGTGCTGAGGACGGAGGAGGAGAACCCCTCCTTCTGGAGGAGGAGAGGTGGGGTAGGCCGAGCCCTCCCTCTGGGGCACGCAGGGCGGTGCCCCTTCCTCCCCCTCCCACCTTTGAGGGCTGCGGGGGAGGGAGGTGGAAAGGGGGATGAGGCATCAAGATGGCAGCTTGGAGACTATGGGATGTGTGGCTGGCGGCCAGGGAAGGCGATGGCCTTTGGCAAAAGAGGGGCGCGGGGGAGGGAAGCAAAAGGAAGCCACTCCTTAAGCCGGCAGCTGGATTCTTGAGGCTGGAAGGAAACGTGAGCCCTGCAAGCTGCATTCTGCATCGTAATGGTGGGGTCCATCCAATGCTTCCAAATGGCGCTTGGCGCTGCTGGGCTAGGGGATGACGTGATGTCTATTTCTGGGCCTCCTGGCAGCGCCTCGGCTCTCCTTCCGGGGCCTTTGTTCCCTGTTTCCCTGGGGCTGGCTTTTCAAAAAAGGGGACTCACCCTCGCTGGTGCTGGCGGGGGCGCGATCCTGGCCGGAGGGGGAGGGGCGAAAGAGGCCGAGCCCGGAGGAGGCCGCTTTGTGTACCAGAGAAAGCATTACGTCATCTCGGAGCGGCTGGTCCCGGACCCAGCCCTGTATCTTAAAGATCATTTACACTCTGGAGCAGAGAGTGGAGTAGAAAATAAGGAAGAAAGTGAGAAAGAAAATCTTGAGAAGCAAGTTTTTCCTCTTTGGGACAATCCTGCAAAATGTGATGAGGGAGCAATCAACTTCCTGTACTACACTTTCCTGGTCAAAAAATAAATTGCCCCTCTTCTCCCCTCAGTTTAGTGCCTAAGGCACTTGACTGCTAACCAGAAGGATGGCGGTTCAAACCCACCAGTGACTCCTCGGAAGGAAGGTTGGGCAATCTACTTCCGTAGTGATACCACCTCGGAATGGAAGGAGGGGTCGCTATGAGTTGGGTCCGACTCCATGGCACATAACAACAACAAGATGGGGGAAGCCTATGAGAATGGCTGCCAGTCTGAGGTTCCTTTGTATCCATTGAGGAATTTCATCCCCAGACAGTCCAAAAGGCTTGGGCATCCAGACTCGAATACATAAGGTGGGGACACAATCCATCTAGGAAATGGCTTTTCTCACTCTCTAGTCAGAGGTATGTGGATACGTGCAGAACAGTGTTCTGTATATCCCGATATCAGCAAGAAGACATCAGATGGGGGACAAGACATAGAGTTTGACACTCGTTGTCTATTTGTTGCCTTTTCAAGGCTAAATCCTGAATATATTTCATTCTTCCACATCACCTGCATCTCTACCTTTTGAGTCATAAATTTCTAGAATAGAAATCCATTTTGTGGTCATATGAATACCCCATGCTTTTCTTCTTGCTCTTTCTTTTTATGCCTTATTTCAACAAATTCTTTTAGTACCTAAGGCATTTGACTGCTAACCAGAAGGCTGGCAGTTCAAACCCACGAGCCACTCCTTGAAAGGAAGATTGGGCAATCTACTTCCATAGTGATACCATCTTGGAAACCCAAGGAGGGGTCGCTATGAGTCAAATCGACTCAACAGCAGTGAGTTTGTTTTTTGTTTTTTGTTTGTTTTGTTTTTCAGTAATTGCATTCCCAGATTCCTTGGAAAAGTGAATGATATGGAGCATAATACAGGGATTTCTTTTAGTGGGAATATTAGTAGAAGAGAGAAAATAAATTATATCATCCTTTTACATGCTACATTTTATTTAATCCTTACAAATATACTCTTGTGTAGTATATATTATAACTTTAAATGACATAAGTATTTTTTTTTTCCAGATGAGGAAACTGAGGCTCAGGGAGATAAACTAACTTGCCTAAAGTCAAACAATCTAGTGAGGATTTGAAAAAATGCCTGGTTGTTTCTCCTGGCCTATTTGACAGGAGAAGGCTAAATTTAGGAAAGGAAATCAATAAGCAGTTCTGGAGGCTGAGAGAGTTAAACATAACCCAGTTGTATCTTGCAGGTTTCTGGACCCTTATAGATTATCTTCTGCATAGAGAACTATTGCCCTGACTTTTTCACATCTCAAAGAGAACTTCATTGTAACTATCAAACACTGTAGAGCTTAAGAGATACACCAAGCTAACACTCAATTATCCATGACTTTGGAGGACAAAGGGATCAAGGAGCATGGGTCACTGCAATTTATAGCTGTTCTAAAACACTGTTTCAGCCATTAGTTCCAATTTCCTTTTCCCACCAAGCTTTTCACTAAAGCAAGACAGAGGGCTTTGAGTTTCATCATTTCTTATTTTAGTAGTTCACTGCATTGCATGTGGGGGAGAAAGGCAGAATTAACCAATATTAAAATGAAGAAGAAAGAAGCCAGAGAAAGAACCTGGATAATTCACAAATGGGTTCATCTCTCTCTCTTCTTTTCCTTCTCTGTCTTTCTGAGAAATTAGAATCCTTCATTTTCTTTCCTACCCACTCCATATTCATTTTGTAACAATAAAAGTAGATGCATTATAAGTGGTTCCCTTAAGATCTCAAAGTAAAGCTTTGGTAGAGCTAAAAGGATGGCCCAGATAGCTCCCAACCTAGGCTTTTATATGTAACTTCCAAATCATTCTTAAAAACATGTCTTTGGCGGTTACCTGCCTTCCTCTTCTCATAGTGGCAATGTTCAGTTTCACTAATCAGTGGCAAGGCAACATGCAGGAAAGCCCCTGATTGATGAACGGAGAGCCGTTTCTTCAGAGCATGCCTGTTCTGATTGACAATAGAGTATAACCAGTTTTGTTCAAAAAATTTATTGTGCTCTTATTATGTGCAAGATTCTGAGAGATTCAAAAATAAGCAGGATGCTGTTCCTGCCCTGCCTTCAAGGAGCTTACCACCAAGCCTGTCTCCATGTTGTGAAATCTCTGCCTAACAGCTCTTATTTCATTTAACTCACTAAAGTCTAAACATTATTTTACTCAATATGGCCATGGATACACTCACCTTGATTTAGTTTGTTAATAATAGTTATCTATCTTATTTTACAAGACAGATATAACCCCTTCTTTTCTTACCCAGTTCCAACTTTTATAGAACCTTGGAATGCTTGAGGTATAAAGGATTTCAGAGATTATCTAGTGCAATCCTCATGGAAGAAATCTCAGAATAGAACAGGCCTAACCAATGGTGATGGAACCATGTTCAATAGTGTTTGAAAACTTTTAGTTCCATCCACTTGGAAGGGGATCTATGTAGGAGATCCTTGATAGAGAGGGAGAAAAATGTGGAACAAAATTCAAAATCATTTGGAAAAAAAAAAAAAGATGGTGACCAGGTTTGCTGGTCCGATAGAGCTTGGTGGAACCACTGAGACCATGGCCCCTAGCTGCCCTTCAGGTCTGGAATTGAACCCACACCTGTAGTTTCCAGCCAAACAAAATACAGGCATATGAGTTGAACATTTACCTCAAGTAGATACACTCCCTGGAGAGAACAATCATGGGAGAAAGAAGGGCTGCTTAGGCACAGGGAGACAGCTCAGGGGGCAGGAGTGTGTGAAGGGATGGACACTAGGAAGAGGTAACTATGGGGGGGGAAGTGGGAGGGGAGCTATTGCATTGCGGTAAACTGTGGTCAATGACATGAGACAAAGTATATGTGAACTGCTGTATGGAAAGTGAATTTGCCCTGTAAATCTTCACCCAAATCACAATTAAAAAAAAAAAAAACTTTTAGTTGGAGAATCACTGCCTCATGAACAACCTGGGTGAGACAGTTCTAATAATTTAACTCCTTTCATTGATTAAAAATCTGTTTCCTTGTAGCCTGTATGCTTTGGTACTGTTCCTGCTCACAAAAGTAAGATCAAATCAGACCCTCTTCCATCAAAATGCCTTGAATAATTGAAGGTGTTGTTGTTAGGTGTTGTCAAGTTTTTTCTGACTTATAGCAACCCCATGTACAACAAAACAAAACACTGCCTGGTTCTGGGCCATCCTCACAATTGTTGCTATGCTTGAGCCCATCATTGCAGCCACTGTGTCAGTCCATCTCATTGAGGGTCTTCCTCTTTTTCGCTGGCCCTCTACTTTACCAAGCATGATACCCTTCTGCAGAGATTGGTCACTTCTGACAACATGACCAAAGTAGAGGAGACTAAGTTTGGCCATTCTCACTTTTAAGGAGCATTCCTACTGTACTTTCTCCAAGACAGATTTGCTCATTCTTCTAGCAATCCATGGTACATTCAATATTCTTTGCCAGCAGCATAATTCAAATACATCATTTCTTCAGTTTTTATACCTAAAACTCTACCCCCAGCTCCAGTTTCTTCAGTCTTTCCTCATTTTATATTCTCAGGTCTTTTACTATCCTTAGTCTATATTATCTGCAATGTGCAGTATGGATTCTGGCATCAGGCAGATGGGGGTTTACATCCTGTCACTTCCATTTGCTAGTATGTAACCTTAAGCAGATTTCTGAGTCCCCAGACTCTTTAATTGTGAAGTGTTGATGTTAGTGGTACCTATTTCAATCAGTTCTTTGATCCATAGAGAGAAAGTTCTAGCATGATGCTTGGTAGGAACATAGTAAGTGTACACACACACATACACACACACACTTTTATTATTGTCAGTGCTAAACAGAACACTCCACATGTGTTGTGACCAGTTCAGATGAAATTACACCTGCTTCTCCTGTGATTATATTCCTAGTATAAAGTGAAATTAGTCTAATTATAGCCCAACCTTGTGGCACCTAAACTACTGTCATTTTTGTGCAAACTGTTGTCAAGTGATATCTCCCATTGCCTATCATGAGTTTAAGCCTAAATAAGATAATCTGTAATCATATGTAGGAGCTTTGGTGGCATCGTGCCTAAGGCATTTGACTGCTAACCGGAAGGCTAGCGGTTCAAACCTACCAGCCACTCCTCAGAAGGAAGATTGGGAAATCTACTTCTGTAGTGATACCGCCTCAGAAACCCCGGGAGGGGTCGCTATGAATAGGATCCGACTCGATGGCAGTGGTGGGTTAATCATATTGACCTCATCTTCTTTTTCTAATCTGTGAAGGCTGTTTTGAGTTTACTAACTCAGTTGTTCACTGAACACTTACTATATGCCACATGGTTCTAGGACTGGAGACTATAGCCATGAATAGAACAGACAATCTCTATTCTTATAAAGTTTACCTAATGAGGGAAGAGGGAGCTCTGGTGGCATAGTGCCTAAGGCATTTGACTGCTACCAACCAGAAGGCTAACGGTTCAAACCTACCAGCTACTCCTCAGAAAGAAGATTGGAAAATTACTTCTGTAGTGATACTGCCTCAGAAACCCAAGGAAGGGTCGCTATGAGTCATATCCGACTCAATGGCAGTGAGTTTTGTTTGTTTGTTTGATTAATGAGGGAAGACAGACAAATAAATAAATGTCAGGGGTGACTAGTACATGAAGAAAAAAACAGAGTGATGGGTATATTATCTCACTCAAAGCAGCCAGAGAATGCTTCTCTGATAAGGTTTGGTTTGAATAGAAGCCTGCAATAAGTAAGGGAGTGAGCTGTGCAGATACCTGGTAGAAGATGTTCTAGGCAGAGTCTGGAATATTCTGGAATTATGTTTATTTCCTTAGTTCTCTCTGTCTTACACAAGTCTTCCACTAAAAAAGTAATGTAGAAAACCACAAGCATTATTTTGAACTTTCACACATAAACCTAATTTCATTTTAAAGAACTTAAGGGGGGGGCAAGCCTAAACCTAAATTATATGAGGAAAGTAAATCTGTTGCTCTTAAGTTATTAATTTATTCAACAAATATATATTAAAGTCTTGCTCTGTGTCTTAACTGCTTGGGATACAACAATGAATAAAACAGATATAAATCCTTGTCCTCATGAAGCTTACATTCTAGTGGAGAAAAATAAGTACTAAATTATATGTGTGTATGCGTGTGTGTGTATCACATGGTGATAAGACATATAAACAGAGGTAGGAAATGTGGGTGACAAGGGTAGAGAAGGTGACATTTGTGCAAAGATGTGACATTTTCTACCACCCATTTTTCTATTTAAAATGCTTCCATTTTAAATACCTGGGAGTTGAGAAGAAATTTTGGAACATATTTTAAAAGTATGTAAACCTAGAGTTATTTTTACCACCCACTAGCTTTTACCACCCTTGAACAGTACCCTACAAAACTCAGCTCCGCATCCTTCCACTTCACCCTGCCAGTCAGTCATTCAGCACTGGCCTACTGTTTGCCAATTTTGTACTAGATGCTGTGGAAAATCCTCCTGAAGCTCAAGACACAGCTTATGCCCTTGTGTAACAGTTGAGATGAACAAGCTCCCATGTAAAAATGTGACCTTAGAACATTTACAGAGAAGCTTTATGTGAAACACAAATGAATGTGAGCAAACCAAGTCCATAAATTCTGGGGGAAGGTCAGGAAAAGAACAGTGGGCCACGTGGGGCACCTCTGGGAAAGCTTTCTGGAGAAGATAAAAATTTCAGCCAGGTTTGGTGGGAAGGAACAGCCAAGAGAGAGGACAAGCCCTAAAGCTCAGATAAGCAAATTTTGCTTTGGAGGGTAGACTGGATTAGCTTAGCTCTGGCAGAAGTTCTGAGCAGGCAGGGGAGTTCGGGTGAGGGGTTCAGGGTCTACCTGTCTTAACACATCTCTGGTCTCCACCTTTAGATGTCTCACCTGTGGTAGCTGGCCTCATCGGGGCCTCTGTGCTGGTGGTGTGTGTCTCGGTGACTGTCTTTGTCTGGACATGCTGCCACCAGCAGGCAGAAAAGAAGCACAAGACCCCACCCTACAAGTTTATTCACATGCTCAAGGGCATCAGCATATACCCAGAGACCCTCAGCAACAAGAAGAAAATCATCAAAGTGCGGAGAGACAAAGATGGCCCTGGGAGGGAAGGTGGACGTGGGAACCTGTTGGTGGATGCAGCAGAGGCAGGCCTACTAGGCCAAGACAAGGGTCCCAGGAGCCCTCACTCTGGATCTTGTATAGACCAATTACCCATTAAAGTAGACTATGGGGAAGAACTGAGGAGCCCTGTTGTGAGCCTGACCCCCGGGGAGAGTAAAACCACTTCTCCATCCTCTCCAGAGGAGGATGTCATGCTAGGATCCCTCACCTTCTCAGTGGACTATAACTTCCCCAAAAAAGCTCTGGTGGTGACAATCCAGGAAGCCCATGGACTGCCAGTGATGGATGACCAGACCCAGGGCTCTGACCCCTACATCAAAATGACCATCCTTCCTGACAAGCGGCATCGGGTGAAGACCAGAGTTCTGCGGAAGACCTTGGACCCCGTGTTTGATGAGACCTTCACCTTCTATGGCATCCCATACAGCCAGCTGCAGGACCTAGTGTTGCACTTCCTCGTCCTCAGCTTTGACCGCTTCTCCCGGGACGACGTCATTGGGGAGGTCATGGTGCCATTGGCTGGGGTAGACCCCAGCACAGGCAAGGTACAACTGACCAGGGACATCATCAAGAGGAACATCCAGGTGAGGAGAAAGACTGTGTTGGGGAGGGGTGGTAGGTTGGGGGAGACAATGTCTTGGAGGAAGGATGGATGGGGAAACAGGGAGATGGGTGCAAAGAGGGGCTATATAGAGGAAGTTCTTGGCTATTGAGGGTAAGCAGTGGTCAGAGTAAGATGGAGGACCTGGCAGGTAAGGTCTCCTCCAGGGAGCCACTTCCTGAGGAGAAAGCAGCAGGTAGTTTCTGAATTTTTACTTAGTGATTGGCATCCTGATGCTGTGTCCATCTTACTTGGAGTATGCTGACTCTCCGCTCCCAGACCTTCCTTCATGTCAGGAATATGGGAACTAATTTCCTCTCAAGTGATGTGTAATCTGCCCTCAAGTGAATTTATTTCTCAGAGCTGAGAAACTATGAAAATATTCAGTAATTTTTCCCTCAGCTGCCCTATTCCAACCCAAACCTAAAAGTATAAATAGTGTCATATATATGTCTTTTAACAAATTTTACAAATGTAGTTTAATGAATTGTTGTACCCTTCTGGCATTTTATCCAAGCCTGAACCTTAGCCAAAGACACCCATTCCTCCACTCCTCTGTTTGCACTTGAAGGGAGTGAGAGTCCTCTGTCTTGCATTCTTTCTACCCCACCCCCACTGGGCTAAGTTTGAGCCTTGAGCTGTAATTCAGGGGTGCAAGAAATGTATCCCCACCCCACCCCTAGTTCATTCATTCTTCCAAAACTGGGGAAGCTGTATAGTGCTGTGATGAAGTACTTGGGCTCTGGGGTTGAACTAAGTTTACTTTCTAGTTAACAATTTTCCAGCTGTGTGACATGGGTGAGTTACAGAATCCTTTAAGTCTGTTTGTTTCCTCATTTGTAAAATGAAGATGATAATATTACCTTACAGGGTTATAAGGATCAAATGAGATCGTGTATCTGGCATATTATTGTCTTTGAGGACCTTTCACTCTGGCTGAGGAGAAAGATAAATAATCTTGGCAATTACCAAATAGTGAGCATGGTAGGGGCTATGAAGGAAGTTGTCGAAATTTTACACTTACGGTTTCATTCCTTTTGCAGGGGATAACATAAGTGATTAATAATAGCAAGGACTTTGAATGTAGACCAGAGTTTGAATCCAAATTCTATCAGCTGAGTGACCTTGGGAAAGCTGTTTAACTTCTCTAAATCTCAATTTCTTATAGGAATTTAGTGATATGATGAGTATACATATAAATTACTTTATAAGCACTCAACACATTTTAAGTATTACTATTATTAATAAAAGTTGATTCTCATGAGATATATGTGGTTTATAAATACTTGAATTTCATTTTGACAAGGAGATGGAAGACAAGGGAGAAGTGGGTGGAAGGTTCAGAAAGGATATCAGAGCCACTAAAAACAGCTGCACATCTCCGAGAAAGAGCCCTGCCTGTTGGTGTCATATCCCTGATGCCTTTTCCACCTGCAAGCCCAAGCTGGCCTCAGTGGAGAAGCTAGAGGCTGAGGTTTAGACAGAAGAAGGTCCTGGGTCAGCAGGAATGGAATATACAGTGACCTTCCAGGAGCTCACTGATGAAGAGCACTATTCCAAGCCTGAGGAGGGGAGGCAGAGAGCCATTTCCCTGTGGGCATAGGTTCTTGCCTTCCCTGCTGCATAGTAAGCAGCTGTTCCTCCACAGTCAACCCAGTGACAACATTGCCCAAAGGAACTGTGATGACCACATTGCACACTCAGCTCCACCTCACAGGGGCCAAGGAAGTTGAAGGATTTTGAAGAATTTTAAAGGCACTTAGGGCATACACAAGGCACTGGTTCAATGCCAGAATACCATGGGACATCCTCAAGTCTAACACAGCAGACCTTCTTGCGTCCTCTGAGGTTAGTTGCAGACTGCACTGACCAAATTTGCAGTGGTGACCTGTTTCATCCCCGCCCCCTATCTCTTTTCCTCAGCTTCTGCAAACCTCCTTGCTTCCCTTTTCAGTGGCTCTAGTGCTCCATTCCCTGCCTTCATCTACCCTCCTTCCAGGAGGCTGCCTTCCAACATACCCTCTTCTAGGGCCCTAACCTTGGTAAAGCCACCAGCTAACAAGACTCCCATAAAGCTACTAGCTAACGGGACTCCCAGATGGTTCATATACTCACAGCCCAAGCCTGGGGGTAGAGGATGGCTCTGTGCCAAACTGTAGCTGGAGAAAGACTGATGAGGAAAGGGGATTGATTTGGACTGGGAATAAACAGCCTCAAATCCAGTGCATTGGGCAGGGAGCACAGACAATGGCATTTGCTAAACTGCCAGGGGCTCTTGGCAAGAGCCAAGTTTCTTTCCACTTTATTAACTCCCTTCAGGATTGTTAAGCCAGGACTGGGATCCTAGCACATCCCCTGGGAGAGGCCCCTGGCAGGAGCCTGGGCAGCCCCACACCAGGGTTGCCTAGCCTCCCAGGCTTCCCAAGCTAATTTCTCCCATTTTCCCTTGCGTTCCAGCTTGTGACATGGCAGCTATCTCCTTACTCAGTCATTCCTGTGATTCTCTAAAAGATCAGCCTCCAAATATCTACCCCAACCCTTTCCTACTATAGCCAACAGTCTGTCCTTTCTGGATCTCTCCTTGGTGAAGGTCGGCTAGAGCTATTCTGGACTATTCCACACTGTCTGTAAAGAGCTTTCTTCTGGTCTCTGTAAGGCATACTCTTACAATTTGAGGCCAAATTATTTTCCTTCAAAGATTCATAGGTGGAGACTGGTGAGAATTTCATTTCTCTAGACAACCTCCTGCCCCTGTTCCAACTGCATTTCCTGGCCTTTAGCAGACAATTCATCCCTTGTCTTTCCCATCATCACTGTGCATTCCTGTCAGAGTGGGAAAACCCAGGACTGTTCATTGGTTCTGACTCTGCCTTCATTTCACTGCGTAGCTCTGAACAAGCAATTATCCCCTCTGGGCCTCAGTTTCCCTCTCAGCTGTATTGTGATGACTAATGGGTCACTTCATAAGAGTACTCTCAGCTCTTATGAATATACAGGAAGATATAAGAAGTATTAAAAATTAACCCTTGATTAGTAGTGAAAGGTCACAGTATAGTGGATTATAATAGTGGATAATATAAAAAATCTCTGAGTTGGACTTTGGAACCAGATTTTTTTTTTTTTTTTTTTTTTGAGTGACAGCTTTATTTTCTAGTATTTTACTCAGATGGAAATTAAAGTGAATTTACAGTCTCATAATAAATCCCCCATGAAAAGAGAGGTGGTACAGTGAGGGCTGGAGGATAAAGAGGAGACAGTGTGAAAAGTGGTTTAAAAAGCAGATAATGGAGAGTTGGATAATAGAGTTGTTAAGACTTCTCCTAATTTCTTCGGGTCATTGTTCTCCAAACCATTTCCTGCCTTTCTACTCCCCAGGTCTGGTGTTTATGACCTGGGACAGTGGCCATGGGAATGAGAGGATTCTTAAAATCTCAGAGTTAAAAGGGACCTTAGAGGTCATCTAGTCTAGCCAAATGGGACAGAAAAGAGAGAAAGGAAAAAGAATGTCAGTTCGCCAGGAACAATCATTTAAAAAAAAAAATAATAAAAGTTGTTATGTATGTGAATGGCAGGGAGGGAAGAGAAGACTTGTAGTTGAATGTTAAAGGTTTTGTTCCATTTGTTTTCCCATGGTTGTGATTGAGGGTAGAGGTGGCCATTAGGGCTTTTGGCCCCATTAAAGATTATTAAGAGTCAGCTGTTCTGCCCAATGCAAGGGCTCTGTGGCTAGAAAAATCACTCTGAAAGAAGCTCTGGTAACTATAGAAAAATAGACATCCCTCACCTAAGTATTTCTTTCATCTGAATGTATTCTTTAGGACCACTGCTCCTGTTCTTCTTTTTCATTGAGCAGAAAGGAGCCCGTTCTCTGAGAGCAAAGCTTCCCAGCTCTGTCAGGCATGGATAAAGGCCTTTCTCCCCCTTGTCCTTCTGCTTGCCTGCCCCCAACGGGGTCTTTGCCTCACTAGGCCAAGAGGCTGGGAAACAGAGCTCGCTCCCAGCCCTCAATGGCTCTTTCTTTTGAAAGAGCCATTGAAAGTGCTACTTGAAATGGGAATTGGTGGGAAGAGAAAGGGAGGGGGAATGAGGGGATGTTCAACTGTGGACTTTCATGAAGAATCGAATGTTATTCAGGTGGTGTTGTGGCTACAGTCTTGGGCTTCACAAAGGCGTGCCTGCATGGGGATGGGCATTCTGCCCACATGAAATGGCCAAAGGGAAAGGAGGGGATCAGATGGAAGACATTTGCCTGAGGATTTTAAGGGAGTAAATTATTTAAAAAGTAATCAGAAGTTTTCTACTTTCCCCAAGAACTAGGAAATGGGGAGGGGAATTTAAATTAGGAAGAGTTTTCTATAATGGATGATTTAGAGAACAGAGTTTTAAACAAGTTATCTGGTAACCTAAACTATAATTTTGTAATCAATGTTATTCTTGTAACTAAAGCTTTTCATGTTTTAAATCCAATTTTCATTTTCATTCCCACTGACCCTTCTGTATATAAAGTTAGAATTATATTTAAAAACTGTATATTTAATATTTAGATAACTCAATGATAGTCCTCGATATTGATATCAAATCTAGTTAACATTTCATTTTTCATGCAAATGGAGGGGAGCATTGACCCAGACAATCCAAAAGTTCTTTCTTGATCAGTGCTGCCCAACAGAATTCTATGATGACAGAAATGTAGCTTATCTGCTCTGTCGAATATGATAGCCACAAGCCACATTGGCTATTATGCACAAAATAAGGATAACGTGACTGGGGAATTGAATTTTTAAATTTATTTAATTTTAATTAGTTTAAGTTAAAATTTAAATAGACACATGTAGCTAGGGAGTACTATTTAAGATAGCTCAGCTCTGAGTATTTTGAAAAGCATTTGATTTCCTTTTTCATGAGAGATTACTTTTCTGATGTCAGACACTCAGCTGTTTACTAGAAGATCAGTGATTGGAACTCACCAGCCACCCTGCGGGAGAAATACAGTGCAGTCTACTTCTGTAACGATTACAGCCTTGAGGACCCTATGGGACAGTTCTACTCTGTCCTATAGGGTCACTATGAGTTAGAATCAATAGTAATGGGTTGGTTTTTGGTTTGGGGTTCTAAATAGTAAAACTGGGTTTACATTCTCTGATTGCATTCTGACTCATAGCAAAAGAAAGCAGCCCAGAACTATACTGGTTGGCAAGGGCAACCAGCCTGGGATTTTAAACTGGCTGAGAGTACTTCCCACATATTTAATCAAGAATTGACAGTATGTGTATTATGGGTAAGAACAAAATGCTAGGCTTCAATCTAGCAGAGCTAAACCATGAAACTACTCTTTAAAATCTATTCCCTTTTATACTTTAATTTCTAAGCTAAAGGCTACTTTAAATTTCAATTAGATATATTTTATGCTCTGTGAGAGACATTCTCATATGCCCTGGGTATGACATATAGACTTATGCAATTTTTTAAATTACAAAAATGTTTTCACAGTTTCATTCCTTGAGTTCATTTAAGGCTTATAATTAAAGCACAGATCATTAGGTAAGCCATAAAGTTATGACTTTGTTTTTTCATTTGTGTGCTAACTAACTTACTTGTTATTTTTCTCTTCTGCTTCAGACACACCTGAGCAGGTGGTTCATTGCTCAGCTTATGAGTTTCTTGAATTTAGGGATTCTTAGGGCTCATCTTAGGGAGTTCTGGTATCATAGTGGTTAAAGCATTCAGCTGCTAACCAAAAGGTTGGTGGTTCAAACCCACCAGCTGCTCCTCAGGGGAAAGATGAGGCAGTCTGCGTCCATAAAGATTTATGGCCTTGGAAACCTGATGGAGCAGTTCTACTCTGTCCGAAAGGGTCACTATGAGTTGGATTTTTTTTTTTTTTTTGGTATTGTCATTTTTATAAGGAACTCTTCTGGTGGTGCAGCAGTTAAAGCATACAGCTGCTAACCAAAATGCCAGTGGTTTGAATCCATCAGTCAGTCATTCTCTGGGAGAAATTGGAAGCAGTCTGTTTCCTTAAAGATTTATAGCCTTGGAAGCTCAATGGAGTACTTCTACTCTGTCCTAAAGGGTCACTATGAATCTGAATCAATTTGATGACAGTGGGTTTGATTTTGGTATTGTCATCTTTACAGCCCGAGCCTCTAGTAGTGTCTGGCACCTAGTAGGTAACAGGTAACAGGTAACAATAAGTCATTTTTGGGAGTATGTGGAATATATAAGCCTGGTGACAAGTATAGTCTACTTTTGCTCAATCTAAGAAGAATTTTCTGTAGTAGGTGACATTTCTTTGGAATAAGGTTTAATAGTAGGGGGGTGATTTTATCCCAAATTTAACTTATTATGTCCTCCATTACTCAAACCTCACCTCCTTTTGTTTTCCTATCCCAGACTCTCTCCTACTTTCAAAGGTAGAAACATAAAAAATAGACTATCATCTCTTCCCTCTCCCCTACTTTATATCCAATTAGCCACCCAAACCTAGAAAATCCTGGTAGTTCTTCCTGAAAAATATTTTACTCCCATCTCCATCCCCTTTGCTCTGGGCCCCAGTTCTGGTCCCATTTCTTCCTTAGCCTTTTAACTGAGCTTTCTGACTTTGGTCTTTCTCCACTTAAGGCCATTCTCCAGCTTTCATTTTAAAATAATAAAAAAATAATAGTCACAATAGTAATAACTATGTCATTCCATTCCTGTTTGTACAGACCTCCTCTTATTTGTACATTGCTGACTCTGCTGTTTTAAAGTACCTCAAGTTCCTTCACTTTAGCCTTGCCCATCTCTCTAGGCTCCTACCTCTAGGTGGCCTATCCCCGCTGTCAGACACCCCCACTGCAGCCACACTCCTGTCTCACCATTCTCTCAACACAGTGTGTCGTTTCAGGACTCCATGCCTTTGTGCTGGTCATTCCTGTCTCTCTGCCCAACATGTTCTCTCTGCACATTGCTTCATGGCATCTCACTCACCCTCCATAAACTCAGCCCAAACATCAACTGGAAAAGTCTTCCCTGAGTCCAGCTGACCCCACATTCCCCTGGGTGCCCAGAGCACTTAGATAGTGCTTTTTATTTCTCTGACAAGTATGTGTTTGTTTACATTGCTGTCTCTTCTGCTCCTTGGGAGCAAGAACTGTGTCCTATCAGCTCTGGGTCCTCAGCATCTGGCCTATGGTACATATCCAAATGTAATTCTAAATGTTCTTGGAGCCCTAGAATTCTTTCAAGCTCAAAATAGAGCCTGGAATAAAATGTAAAGAATTTTCAAAAAGAATACCAATACTGGTGGTGCAACATGGAAAATGTAATCAGAATTGTAAATGTGGAAGTTATTGTGTTGGTGAATGCTTTAATGTGTATATTTTCACCACAGTTAAAAAAGAAGGAGAAGCAAAGGTGAGGGTTTTGGGGAGGAAGCATGCTCAGGTGCACACACTGAGGCAGGCAGAGCAGGTGTGGAGAGTCACCTCCTTGTGAAATGGAGAAACAGACTCCAGAAAATTCAAGGACTTTCCCAAGGCCATGTGGTAAGTAAGTGACAAAGTGAAGACTACAAACTCAAGTTTCCTATCTCCCGCTATACAGTCCTCAATTTTTTTTTTTTTTGTTTTTATCACAAAAATAAAATGAGAGAATAAGAGTGAATGTGTTTCTATGTACTGCTATATGCCAGGCACATAATTGGTGTGTTTTATAACAATTATTTCTTGATGGGCACACCAGGTGCTAAATAACTTACTTAATCCTCCTAATAATTGTAGGAGGTAGATACTATTAATATCACCATTTTATAGATGAGGAAACTGAAGTACAGAGATATCAAGGATCTTATCCAAGGTCGAGGAACTTATCCAAGCTGAGAAGTGGGAGTCAGAATTTGAATCCAGGCTGTATGACTTCAGGAGCCATGCTCTTAAACAGTAGGCTATGCTGCCTCTCTCTGCAAATGATTTTATTTAATACCAGGATTATAACATTTCCTCTTTTCTTTCCTATTGAATATAATAGTAACATCTTACAGAGGTGAACACTTTTCGTCTAGCTTTCGCATCCCCGCACTTGTTCTTCTCCAGACTCTCTTCCCTCTCCTCTGCACACCTTCTGTGCTCCCCTCGGCCAGATTCTCACCTGATGTTTCTTCCTCACAGAAGTGCATTAGCAGAGGGGAGCTCCAGGTGTCTCTGTCATATCAGCCTGTGGCACAGAGAATGACAGTGGTGGTCCTCAAAGCCAGACACTTGCCGAAGATGGATATCACCGGTCTCTCAGGTAGCAGCTATTAACTCCAACCTGTTTCTGACCATCTGGACCATCCCACCCCTGCTTTCCTGCAGCCCAGATATCTCCCCCCAACACCCCACCCCCACCTCAGAACCCCTAGTACCATTCACTTTCCACACCTTCCTCTCTCTACTTTTTCTTCCTGATGAATGTCTGGGTTTGATAGATTTAGCTGGGAGATCAGATGGGTAAGCAAATGGGCTCCTTACAATGGGTGAGGCATCTTAAATGATGGGCGTACCAGGTGCTAAGCCCTTGTCCCAGGTAAGATTTATCGAAAAGATTGCCAGCTCTGGGGAAGGCTTCTAGTGACTGTTTTCTTTTTTTTTCAAAGGACTTAATTATTCATGATTCTTTATTCATGGATATTTTGTTAATAAGCATATAAATGGAGTCTGCTTATTAAGTTTGACTGAAGTTGCATTGAATTTAGGGATTATCTGGGCAGAATTGAGTGCTATCATACTAGGATGCCCCATTTTAGAGTATGATAGGTCTTTGTTTATTCAGCTCACCCTTTATTTGAATTCAGAAGTTTTCTGCCTAGAGAACTGTGTACTCTTGATGAAATTAATTCCTAGATACTTCCTATTTAAAAGGTAAAGAAAGATTGAAGGCATTTGTTATTCCCTGTTCCCTTGAAAATGCTTAGGTCTTGGGGTTTCTGCAAACCTGACTTCAGGAGGTTGTTCTATTTCATTCCTGCTTGGTCTCCTTGGTCCCTTGTCCAAGCAGGTAGACTCACATATAGTCCATGTGCATTTGTCAGGCAATCACTGAAGACTGTGTAAGAATGGTCACCAAAGATATGAGAACCATAGCCCCCTCCTTCCCGACATGAAACCACCGTTATAGGAAAGGACTGTGTCATAGGCCTGTCTCCCTTTTTCTCATCTCTTTGGGGGCCCTAGATCCTTACGTCAAGGTGAACGTCTACTACGGCAGAAAGCGCATCGCCAAGAAGAAAACTCATGTGAAGAAGTGCACTTTGAACCCAGTCTTCAATGAATCTTTCATCTATGACATCCCCACTGACCTCCTCCCTGACATCAGCATTGAGTTCCTCGTCATCGACTTCGACCGCACCACCAAGAACGAGGTGGTGGGGAGGCTGATCCTGGGGGCACACAGTGTCACAGCCAACGGTGCCGAACACTGGAGAGAGGTCTGCGAGAGCCCCCGCAAGCCCGTGACCAAGTGGCACAGCCTGAGCGAGTACTAATCCTCTTCTCCTCACCTCTGACCCAGGGGCCAGGCTGGGGAGGGACATGGCGGAGAGAGAGGACAGAGGGAAGCAGACTCAAAACCTCATTTTAGTTGTAGAAGAAAATTTCTTACAAAACAAACCCCACCAAGAACACTCCACATGACCACAGCCGCAGATCAGTTCTTAGCGATGATGATTTTTCTCCTTTGCAAGGCACTAGGAAAAAAAAAATAATAATAATAATTTTAATGGGGGATAAAAGAGAGGGAAAAACCCCTACAAGTCTATATATAACAATGTAACTTTATACTTGCATGTCTAATACAAACTGAAGAAATTAGCCTAACTACCAATATCAAGTTACAGATCTTAATCCATGAAAATTGTGTTTTGTGCCGAATTGTATTTGCTGATCACTTGAAATTGGCCTCCTTTTATTGGGCTTCTCTGGAGTTACTCTTCACCCCCCACCTCTGCAAAAGAAAATTTTGCTCTTGTAAAACCTCATATTTTCATTATCCCTATCTTTTCTCCCTATTACCTCTTAACATCTTTGCTCTTTGGCTAAATTCAAGGTCCAGAGGTCTGTAGTAAACCAAGAAACAAAGGTGGAATGGATAAGGCAGGGCTTGCAGGAGAAAGAGTAGTTGAGAAATGAGGCATTTTTGCTGTCTGTCCTTCTGCTACGAAGGGGTAAAGGACATTCTAGGATTAATTGTAGCCCTGATGAAGCACATAGAACACATCAGACGTAACAAGTAGAACTTGGGTTTACAAAACTAGGTGAGTTGTCTAAAAGAAGCTTTGAGGCTTCAAGTTCAGTTATAGGATAAAAACAATGAACACATTCAGCTGCTCCCTAATGCCATTTGCAGGTATAAGGACAAGGAGAGGAGAAATGAAGTGACTGACAGCTCCCTTTGCAGCTGTCTATGGAAGTGACAGCCATTTATTGGTTGATGGGATAAAAATCATCATCATAAGTTTAAATGATTAAATTAGCCTTTATTTTTCTAGAAATGCTGATCATTGGGAAACTTTAGAGTCTTCCCAAGTGGCTTAGATGCTGTCATAAGTTTAGTTTTGCTTCATAAGGAAAAAGGCCCTCAGAAATATTCTTTCTCCTTGAGTTTTTTAGTAATGACTCTTAAAAAAAAAAAAAAAGATGTGGTTAAATGAGTAATAAAGGTAACTTAGATTCTCTCAGAACACTCTTTCTCTCAAAACAAAGTGCTTAGGTCTTGGAACTCATGAGTCTCCCTATATGATGGAGAGATGAAGGAACTACAGGATTTAACCTTCTTTCTACCAATGGCCAAGAGAGGTTGAGAGAGATGCAACATTTTCCTGGGATTAGAATCCAGTCTCCTGATACCTAGTCCAGTCATGTCTCTAATGTTAAGGCTTTTCAGATGGTAGAGACTTAACTGATAATATGTAAGCTTAGATAGGCAGTAGATATTTTTTGCCAGCCTGAAGCAGAAGCTTGAACCAGGGCCTGAAAAGATTAGCCAAGGTTGAAGTGTCCATTTCCATACCAGAACATCACTTTCTAACTTGCTTCTGAGAAGACAGTTAAAAAGCTGTTGAAAAATCTGAGTCTCCATGGAGAGGGTGGGTGAACTTGCCTTTGGTGTTCTCTTAGTGCTTGTGGATTTAAAATCAATCTGCTCCCTCCCCCATCTTTTTTTCTTTTTTAACTCATATTCTTGACAGTGCAGAGCAGTTCTGAGCAGGTATAAAGGCCACTCTCTGTTCTTATTCCTGTCAGCCCTCATTCCCATAATCTGACTCACTATCTTACCATCACTATCACACCACTAGTCTGTCCCATACTCCATGGAATGTAAATACTGTATCATACGTAGAAGAAAATAATTTTTGTTTTCTAAAAAAAAATGCATTTTGAGATAGTTCCATGTAAATCTGACAGGAGCATTTTGAGATCCCATTAGGAACACAATTTAAATGGTTCTTCTTCATCGCCTTAATGTCTAAAGATCAGAAATTGCTGAGCAACTCACTTTTGTTTCCTTCCCAGAAACAATGCAAAGCAACAGGTGGAGATAGTCTGGTCTTTGCCCTGCTGTGTGTGCCTCTGTAGCTCCTCCTGATATAAGACTGGGAAATCAACCTCACCCCACTTCTCTCTTCCCCATCTCCTTGTAGCTTTATTCTTTACATTCTTTGGGTCTACTGAGCAGTGGGGAGTGAGGTGATGGGGGAGAAACCAGTAGTTTTGTAGCCTGGGAGCTGCCTCAGTGTCTTTCTCAGAAAAAGGCAAAGAGGCAGACAGTGCAGGGTTCCTCCCTCCTCCCTCAAGGCCTGATCCATCGTGCCCCTGACTTTGCTGTCCCAAAGTTTCTTAGCTGACTTTGGCTTTCACATTTATTCCTTCCAGAGCTAACTGATAAGGGTAGAGGAGGATGCCTCCTCCTAAGGGTCAGTTGAAAGACAAGAGAGTCACATCCTAGCTTTTGCACAAGGCACTCATGGTCAGGAATAGGTTAGGGAATGGTCACTTCTGATTTTCCAAGAGTCAGTCCTTCTCTTTGGACATCTTGATTCCTTTGGGAAGACAAGCATTTTTCTTAATAACAAAGTCCCTTTTTGAGTTATGACTTCTTTCAGTTCTTCTCAGTGGAGCACAGACAAGACATACATGGTTATGAATAGTGCTCTAGATATGAAAACAGAACTGGTTTGTGGGACGAGGTGGCTTGCTCAGGAGGGGGAATAGTGCAGGTCCCTTTTCTTGGAAAACTTACTATGGCCGTAATAGTGACATTGCCCTCACCATGATCCCTCTCCGATGTGGTTGTCTTTCTTTATCTTGTGTCTTCTCTTGTAAAAAATGAAACTCAAAAATAAAATAAATGTGTCAAAATTAAAAAAAAAAAAAAAGAAAAAGCTAACATGAATTGTGTGAAATTGCATAATGCTGTAATGCTAACCTACAATATGTAATGCTATCTTGTATGTTGAATTTATTAATGCACCCACACAAGTGCAAAATAAAGACTGATTCACATTAAATAGGCATAGTGACGTCAGCATGATTCTCTGAAAGATGGATGACTGTGAATGAAGTCCATGCTCAGACTCCAATATGATGTTGTAGGGCATGTTTTCCAAAGTGTAGTTCCCAGACCACCTGGGTCAGAATCCCCTGGGTCAGTTGTTAAAGAAATGCAGATTCCAGGCTCCAGTCCTAGAGATTCCCCTTTGCTGGGTAACTTAGTTTGCTGCTCTCAGCAAGCTAAGTTTAAGAGTCCAGGTTCTATCTTTTTACTCTCAAAATGTTAATTTCTAGGACCATAACCACCAGAGGGAGAGATGTTTATTTCTAGTGGCAAGAATTAGCTTGCCCCTTTAGTTGGAAATATTTATGCTTCGAAAACGTAATGCTGAGATGGGCCAATTCTGTTCTCTCATCAATACATACTGAGTGTGTCTACCATATGCTAGGCATTGAGAATATAATACATTGATAAGCAAGAATCCTGCTCTTGTGGAGCTTAGCAGAAGACAGATATTAATAATCACACTAATGTAGCACTACAAACAGAAAAAAGCCCTGAAGGACAAGCAACAGAGGGCAATGCAACACTCTGGGGTCAAGTACTGGGGTGACATGACCATTGTAACTGTTCTTTGTGGATTTCTTCGCATGCCTTAAAGTTCAGAGAGATTCACTTTTCATATTTCTGTTCTATGTGAATTACCCTAGATAGACAAGCTAGAGGAAAAGAGAAAGCAAGTAGAAATAGTTCCTGCTCTTTTAAAGTTTCAGTAAAGGAACTTAAATCATTTTTTAAATTATTAAACTAATATAAGCATATTATCAGAAAATAGAGAAGAGGAAAAAAAAATTGAAAATTCCAAAACCTTAACAACCATTTCTGTCTTCCAGTCTTATTTCCTATGCATTTTTTCCCTGATAGAGCACCCAGGATCTTTGTAGAAAATACGTAAAGTAAAAGTCAATAGAAATGGGGAGAAGAAATCGAAAGGAAAGTATTGCTAATTCTGACACTTCTCCTTCCAATGTATTTTAACTATTATTTTGTATATTACTTTTTTCTAGATGATAGTTTAAAAAAGTAACAACATGATGGTAAAAGTATCTTTGTATATAAGTTAGCATACATTTGGCTACAAGTAACAGGAAACCCAATTGAAAGTGGCATAAACATTAATTTATTGGTTCACCTAACTGGTAGTCCAAGGCAGGGCAGCCTTCAAAGTTGATTTATGTAAAAAGTCACTGATAGCTTCAAGAATCCAGATTTTTTCTGTGGGTCCACTTGGACATTCACTGTTAGCTCAATCCCAAGGCTTGTATGATGTTTATAGAACCATTTTCAGGGCTCCATGCTTACTCATTCACTTCCAGGAGGAAAGAGAAGATTGCTTAAGGACTTCTAGAAAAATAAGGTAGACCAGTCCCAGAAACACACACACACACACACACAGTTGCCATCAAATTGACTCTGACTCATGGTGATCCCATGTGTGTCAGAGTAGAATTGTTCTCCACAGGGTTTTTAGTGGCTGCTATTTTGTAGATTGCTAGAGGCACCTTGGAAGAAAGCCCTGGCGATCTACTTGTAAAACATGTCACATGGTCATTTCTGAGCCAATTGCTGGCAATGAGGATGGAATTACCATTAGGCCATTTAGGAACACTCTGGAGTTAGTGTGGGGAAAGGGTGAATTCTTGAATAAAATTCTTGCTTGGGAAGAGGAATACATGCTAGGTGGGCAACCAACAATGAACACTGCATTGTTTCTATGGTACCTCTCACTCCAAACACAAAGTACTTTCTTATATGATCTCCTTATAACACAGTGGCCCTTTTCCTCAAGGAAGAATTGCCAACATAGTTATATATCGATCTTATCTAACCCCTGTGCCTTACTGTTTGAAAAGACAAAACAGTCTAATGTTTGGAGTTCTCTTTCATTCAAGAGCAACAGCAATTTAGCCATAAGGCATTTTATACACCCACACA